AAGAAATTAWTTGCCACTCACAAGCCACTCTAGTTTACCTCCTGGGTGTAGTTTATCCTACACCCAATTTTCACCACCCAAACACTAAGTCAAGCTATATGTTCTTGTATCTAGACTGAACACTATATKGTTTTTTTGGCCATATTAAGTTGAGGACAAAAAATATGGCTTTATAATAAAACAGTAAATATGCTGTAAATTCCTGGTGTGTTTAAGGTTATGTTCTGATCTATTCCCCTGTCCCCCTTTAAGATGCACCTTCAGTATTGTAATAAAAATAAAATGCAGGCCCACCATTKTAAGAAGCCCTACAGTTTATCATATCTTAGTTGTCACATAATAAATATCCTGTAAAAAGTGCACCTTTTCTTTTTAAGCCTTTTTTATTTTTTTGAGCATCACATATGTCCCTAAGAATGAYTATAGCTGCAGATGGTAAATTAAAGTCTATACATGAATATTAACTTGCCTGACATTTGAGAAGGTCTGTGGATGGCTGCTGCAGGAACATGCACATTATGGCCACCCTTCTGGCCAGCTGCATACCTGCCTTCAAATAAAACAGGGCTACAATACAGGGGCTACAGCTGATGAAGTTGTAACATTCTAGGAACAGTTTGGAAATACTGGATAATACTCTGGATAATACTCTGGATAATACTCTGCTTATTTTTAGTATTGTGTTTTGTGTTTCCTTCCTTTGCTGCACTTTGTACTTCATCCTCATTAAGTGGAGAACAGTTTCCTGTTCTCAAGCCTTAATGACTGACTTGGAGAATAAAGGTGTTTAAACTCTCAGCAGAGGAGGGCTACTGTTCCATGTCAGGTGCTTGAGTTCTCACATGCTGCAATGTACATGGAACAACACAGCCCACAGAACATTTTTCTACTCAGGTGCTTATGAACTTCCATTTTTGCTCTCATATTAATTCTTCCCACCCCTTCTCCCTCTCTTCCCACACACAAACTGAAAATGAAACACAGTTGTCWGTTTTTCATAGATGCATTACTGCAAGTTATATGTATCTATTTAGCTCTTTATGTCCAATTTATACAAACTGGAAAACAATTGTGTATTAGAGAGCATTTATATGCACACTTTAAGGAAGATAATACAGTGAAAATCTTCCTATTACATACATGCATTAATAAAATTTGGACTTAATTAAAACAGTATGGATGGGATTCATATTATTTAATCTGGACATCTCCATTGCAGACGTATTATCTAGACTGTCTTTGCAGGGGATAGAGATAATTAGGAGCTGCTAGAATTCAATGTACTGCATTCTAGAGMAGGCATCTAACTGAGGACATGATTAATTCAACCCCTGCCAAGTTGATGGCTACAAAAAGTGGACTTTTTTGTAGCTCCAGTGTTTATACATGGCAGCACATCTGATTTGGATGCAGCGGATCAGATCAAAGCTCTAAGTTATCCAAGAGCCTGTCACCAGCTGYGTGAGTTACAGAAACAGGTAATGAAAAAGTCAAAAGCTGCACTGGACCCTCAGTCACAGCTGAGCAAATGACGAAGGAACTGTGAGGGGGAGCTGAGGACACCTTTGACTTCAGAATGGTCTCAGCAGACATGTGCATGACACAAGCTGGAGACAGAACTTAATGTGGACAATGTTCTCAAGGAAAAATTGAATGCCACCAGCACCGTGGAATCATAGGGCTGCAAGCAGATTAAGGTTGAAAAGTACTTCTGGATGCCATCTAACCCATCCTCTAGATAAAACTATAATTTCAAAACTGGATCATGTGGTTAAACAGTTTTATCATCTTTGTATTCATCAGGCTGCTACTGGTGAAACGGAGCAAGAGTGAGAGAAAGTCACCATCAGCAAACATCTGGACCACATCCATGAGCATAGCCATTGTAATGGCCAGCAGATGCAGGAAAACATGGAGGCATGGGGCAACAGTGCAAAACACAGGTACAGCTGAACCAGTGCAACCACAAAACCTAAGGGGAACTCTGCACAAGGCTTGAGCCCCTCAGTACTGGCAAGGAGAAAGGTACACAGTCACATGTTGTACTTACTGTTTTGCTAACAATTTAAGATCCTGCTGCCCTTTAACACCTCTTCCAAAACTGCAAAGTAGCAGCCAGGAGCAGATGTCAAGGCAAAAATTGGAAGAACCTGCAAATACAGTGACCCCTTCTAAAACAGTATCTGGTATTCTGTGTGTGAAATATGATTATTGATATGTACCATAAATATATATTGTGTTGAAATGAAGATTAGCCAAATCTGAGACTTGGTTTCTTGTATTCTTTATGATTGTGAGACCTCAGGAGCAAAACAACTCYGAGAAAACAATATTGAACACAATGAAAGTTGTGTTTTGTTAAAAGTATGCCTTGTAATTTATTTCTACTGTTACCTTGGATCAYTGATGTACAAACATGTTTAAATTAGACTAAATATAGTATTCATCATCTGTATAGAGTGTCCATCTTCCAATTTATTCCCAGCAAACAGGTCACTTGGAAACAAATAATTTTCATTACTTTACACTTATGACAATAGCAGCATAAGATTGCAGAGCGTTATTAGTCAGGGGATATTATAAATAGGAAGTAAGAAATCTAKGTAGAAAATTTAAATAGTATTTTTATTGTATATTTCCTTTATACTTATTCTTTGGATTTTGAAATTGAAATTGTGGAAAGTATGAATGAAAWTATGAATTCTATGAATTGCATTCAAAGTATTGAAAATCTTCAGAAAATTAAGTAAACAGTAAAATTTTTGTCTTAAACATTTCTGTCTGGGGCTGTTAGTCACCTGAGACAATAACCATATATTGAATATAATTAAATCTGTAATTCTTCATGAAATAAAAGCGTAAACAATTATTGAAGTTCAGGAATATTAAAAGTCTGAATTTCAGATATTTCTTTGTACACATTGTGTCAATTATAAAAACGGAAACTTATTTATGCAAAAGGCCTACCTTGTTTCAGAAATAATCCAGAAGAGYCACAGTTCTCGCAGGAAATAATTACTGATGAGTAATATGATGTTCTTTGATTTCTTTTACAATAGGTCTTTAKAATCATAGACTTTTATTTGGTACATTAAAATATGAATATCATAAATAATAAAATAAGTATGTTTTGTTTCTTAAGGGAGAATGTGATAAAATTTAACTTTGTTAATCATATCCTTTTTATTGTTGTAATTTTTTACAGATATAAATAGCATGACACAATGAATGGTAAGAACTATAGCATAACCAGCATTTTAGTGTCTGAAATTCTTCAAACAGTGCTCGTCTATTCAGAATAAATGTGAATTTTAGTACGTGGGCTTGACCATGTCGGAATGTTCAATATCTGTTTATAATGCAGAGATCAATCCTCTCACACAGATTATCAAAATATCAAAGTTCAGGAGCTGGAGGTACTTGGCACTTCCCTGGATCAAATGTATTCTCTGTGTCTCAACCTAACAGGTACAAATATAATAAGAAAACTCTGTGTTTCAGTCTTATTAATCTTGTTTCAGAAAGAAAACAGCATGTGTGATTCTCTTGTTCCTTATTTAAAAACTTAATGAACAGCATTTGGTAACTCAACAGCATTAGGGGAGGTGTGTGCATGAATGCAGCAGAGAGGCACTTACTGAGCATATTGCTGGGAAGGTATGGGCAGAATGATGTGCAAACAAGCATGCCTTGTTACTTCTGGTACTTCTAAAACAACATGCCAGTCAGACAAAAAAAAAAAACCAAAAAAAACAACCTAGGTCAAAAAGAGTTCTGTGGCCCCAATGATGAGCAGCAGGCCTCAAGCAGAGCTGGCTCACAAGAGGGATCCTGGGCACTGTGTGACAAATATCAGCAGTGTTATTTAGCTGAAAAGAGATGACAAAGATGCTAATGCTATCTCTTTATAACCTTACTTGCAAGAAATGTATCATTTTAAGAAACTTTCCCAAGTGACATGAATAGAGGCTTGTTTGTCAGGCATTTTAGGGGAATTCCCCCCCAGTGAAGGCCTGGGCTCTGGCCAAGCCYTGGCCCTGGCTGGCTGGGAGGTGATTCTCAGATCCAGGAGTTTCTGTGCTAAAATTATAATCCAGTTGCTTTGACTTGCTGATTTSGGCCTATAAAAGCTGGACCCACTTTCAGGGCTAATTTGGAGACCTCACCTATGTGGATACACCGCGTAGGACTTTTCCGGTTCCTGGGAAGGGTTCTCCAGGTCCTCGCTGCAAAATGGGGCTCCCCAGCAACAGCTGGCTCTAGAGGATGGTAAAGTACTGACAAAATTGGTGATGTATCTTTTGCAGTCACTATCCTTTCTCTTGTATAGTAATGATTAGGTGCTTTATCTTGCTTATTTTTGCTTATTGCTAATGCCAAGCATGTAGTTTTATTGAATGTACTATTTTGTGTTGCCTTAATAATCATAGTAAAAGAAAACCATTCYTTCTATTGGTGTCTGTGTTCATTAAATTGCCCCCAACAATTGGCAAGACACCCAGGTAGAACAATATATAGGTATATAGGAAAATATATAGATCTATAGAAAGATAAAGGTTGCAGTTATGCTATGGAGAAAAAGGGAARGAAAAACAGAACACCACCAAACCCAAACCAAGAATTCCTGTGCATGATGGAATGAAGCCAGACACCAATATGCTTTTCTGGAGTCTCAAAAGTCTAATAAATGTCAAGCAATTCAGCTTTCCCTGAATGAAGGTATTAGCAGAGATACCATCTACAATGCAGATGTCTGTTTTTATGCCATTTGTAGGAGTTTAGTAACTTTAAAACTTGCCAATGGGTTTAAAATTAAGCAGGCTGTAGAAATACAGTAAGGGAGAAAACACAAGCACAGCAGGAACACTTAAGCCTTCAAGCTAAAAATGACGATCATGTAATGCAAGTGGGTATTATGGAAGATGACATTTTGTCAGGTTATTTAAAGTGTAAACACTGTTACAAGCTATGTCTGGTACCTCAGAGGATGACAATCAAAATCATAAGGCACTCCAGAATTCCACCCTGGTATCCTTCTTATGGAGGCATGGGCTGACATAAGTTTCAGCCGTGCGGGACACCAACCTATTCAGCAGAAATATGGTTTCCTGAACACACCAGTTTCCACGCTCTAAGCTAAATTTCTCAGTAGCACTGTGGTCAGCATTACAGAAATGTAGAGCTGTTTTCAAAGAACTACATAATTTCTCCATGTCTTCTACTTCTGCACCATAGAGAGGATTTGGAAAAGAAGTAGCATTCACTTCTTCATTAAATGGATACGAAATGAAAAAAGATAAAATGATATTTAAAAACCTAGTAATTCAATTAATTTTTTAAATGCACATACAAATATTTATASATCCATTATCTATTAACATATTAAATTATCTAGTAACATATTAAAGAAAACTATAAAATTTTTAAATATTTTTAGCCCAGGCTTTAAGCTGATAAAAGTTAGCATAACTCCGCCAAAATAATTACCTGCCACATACACCTGATCAAGTAATTTAACCTCCTTCTGCATCTGTTTCCACCTTTTTCTCCCTTGTCTCCACAGCCCTTGTTCTAATATACATTTAATATTATTTTAGGACAATCTGTGTACAATAGTGAAATTGCAATGGGTCACTAATTTTGCTGCATGGTATTGCAATTTCCTTTTAATTCAAGGAAATGGTTCTAATTTCCTGGAATGAGAAATGGAGGAGCAAATAGGTAATACAAACCCTTCAGGTAAGGATTTCAGTAGCTCAAACATTTTCTTCAGCATCTGCCCAGACTGATTGAATTTACAATATTGAAATAACAAGTAGCCATGATGAGCAACATTAATAAAATAGTTACTTTGAGGTCTTTGCCAGCCAATTCTGTCCTAGTAATCTTTCTCAGATTTATAAGATTTATAAGTAGAAATACACCATTGACTTTAAGTGACATTTTTCCGTTTCTTTTGCAAATGGATTTCCTTTAMTTGCCCAAACCATACCCTAGAAATGTGTTATTACATACCTCATGCCATGTAGAAACACTGATTTGAACAGCAGGTGAGGTGGCATATCCAGGAGACTATAAAAAGAAAAAAACTGATTCAGAATATTTTTAGTGAGCTGCAAATAGTATATTCTGCCATGTGGCTGTCTGAGTAACACACTCCATGGATTCAAAATTATAAGGCAGTATTATGAGCAAGAGTGTAGCTATGCTAAACCCACATGGTTTTTGTGTTCAGAAAGGTCCAGGAGAATTGTTCTTTATGAAACACAGACTCCCATAAGTGCATAAATTGTGAATATTCAGCTGCAGAAGAGAGATTTTGCTCACATTTTGTCATATCTTTTGATTAATGATATACCATTCAGATTTAAGTCTCATCAGACTCAGAGAGAACTCATAATTTCTGTATTCTTTTAAAAAGAAGAATTAGTGTAAACAGGTATTTTCCTAATCTTAGAGAAAATAGAGGAAATGCTGGTACATAGCTGGACTTCAATCACAATGCCTGAGGCTGTCTTCCATGAAAATGTCTCTCCTGACTCTGTGCTTCTGTTTTTCAACTTGCTATTAAATGARGCCTGTCAGGAATCTATTTTAACTAAAATAAAAATGTCCTGATAAATTGGACATGATTGTGATGGGAATGTTTCCAACTTGGAGCTCTCACAAACTCCAACCTATAAGTGAATTTATTTGATCTAATGTCTCTAAAACCAGGTGTAAGGACCCTTTTATAGAAARTAAATGGCATGTCATAGTTAATCCTATTCAAAGCTGCAGTGGAATTTTATATTATTGACTGTGCAWAGGACAAGGAAGTTTTATTTTCTATTTCAAGCCAAGCCTAGATTTTTCAATCCTAATAAGGGTAGTCTCAAAATGAAGACATTTTAATTTGTTTTTTTCTTTTTTTACTCCAAGATGTTGTCTATATTATTTTGAATTATAAACAAAATATCAGAGACATATTTATTTCAGGTCAATCATCTATTTCTTGGTAAATGTAAGATATGATTTTTTGATATATTTGTAATKTGATAATTAAATCTTGCCTTGAAGAAGCCTTTTGCTGCAATATGTTCACTTTTAGATATATATTTTATTCAAAAATTTCTTTGCTACTGTAGCAGTAAATCCCTTAATTCTGATTAGCAAATGGTACTAGGGAAATGTCTGACCAGTCATTTGTTTAGTGTCAAGGTGAATTTTGGGAACCATGATGCACATTTAAGGTATTGGGAAGGATTACAATCTATTTTGTTAAAGTTAAGTGAGTGTGCAAAGGTAACTTGGATGCTGAATCATGCAGTTTGTGTTTTTTATTGTTGTTGTTGTGCTTCTGTTGTTGGATGTTTGCTTGGTTGGATAGCTTTTCCTGGAATTTTGTTTGTTTTTTTCCCCATATACAAAAGGAGACGAGTCCCAATGAGCTGCTTCTTATCTATGTGAGGGTAAATATTTAATCCAAAACTCCTTTTTTCTTTCCTTCAAATCATCAGCCCATAGTCATACTAGTTACAAACGTTGAAAAGTGGTCAAAACTGAGCTGTTTTAAAATATTTGTAAGTTTTGAAAATGCACTGGAACTGATCTGAGTACTGAGTCAATTTTTCATTCTCATTTCTTTTATTAAATAGCATTCACTAAGGGATTACAACGTTTTAATGGAAAACTATTGGAAGGCTACAACCTCCCATTTTTCTGAACATGTAGAAGCAGCTCTTGCTACTTACCTTTATTTTCCCAGATGAACAAAGGTCTTTATACAATGGATTGGCAAATGAAGAAATGGCAGTTTCCTGCACTTTCCTTGAGAAGGGAAACAAAGGTAAAAACATCCACCATATCACACAGGTTGTCAAAGAACCAAACAGATTAAGGGTGAAAAGACTTGAGTCCAGAAAAGTAGGTGTCTAAATGTATTTACAACTGAGCTCTACTGAAATGAATGAAATTAAAACCATGTTCTGTATAAATAATGTCTAGTTTAAAACAATATGTCTTCGTCTGTTGCTCCTAAAAACATATATGTTTTTGGATGTGCATAGGACTATTTAGTATGCATAAAWTGCAGGTATAGTGCTATATATTACATAAAACATGTTATTACCTTAAAAGTTGAATTGTTATAATTTGTTTGCATGGGATGAAATCATGCTCTTTCAGAGTTTTTCTATCACACTGACAASTCAGTGATTAACATGGTCTTGGGTTCCAAGTTCAAGAACACAGTAGTTATTTAAATATCATGAATACTGGGAAAGAACTTGTATTGTGGGTCAAAATCATCACTATTTTTTAAAGCTATAGAAGCTACCCATACCTTTTCCTACAAAGCCAGGAATAAATCAATCAATCAATCAATCAATCAATCAATCAATCAATCAATCAGGGAGTTATTGAAATGTAAATTTTCCTTTAATTAACACAATGCCTTAAACCATTTATAATAGATTAATAGGAAAAAAAATTGCTATTTATGGGTCTCATGTCCATTACCTCATCTAGAGGTTTAAAGACTATGCTTTCCTGATAGAGGTCTTCACATATCCCATATTTTTTGGAAGCACTTATGACATGTGCAGTTAATCACATTAATTCTGCAAAAGTAGAATGAAACCTAAATTTTTTTCCACATAGATGACTTGTTAATAATATTCCACAATGCTTGAAATCACAGAGTCACAGAATCATTTAGGTTAGAAAGAACTCTAAGATCACTGAGTCTAACCTTTGACTGATCCCCACGTTGTCAGCTGGACTATGRCACAAAGTGCCACGTCCAGTCCCTTCCACCTCCAGGTGTGGTGACTCCACCTCCATGGGCAGTCCATTCCAATGCTTTACAACCCTTTCTGTGAAGAAATTCTTCCTGATGGAAGAATGCGGTCCCCTGGCACAGCTTGASRCCATGTCCTCCTGTCCTGTCACCAGTTGCCTGGGAGAAGAGACCACCCCGCATCTGGCCACAACCTCCTACCTCAGGCAGTTGTGGAGAGCAATAAGGTCTCCCCTGACTCTCCTTTTCTCCAGGCTAAACACCTCCAGCTCCCTCAGCTTCTCCTCAGAGGACTTAATCTYCAGACCCTTCACCAGCTTTGTTGCTCTGGAYTCTCTTCAGCACTCAATGTCTTGTAGTGAGGGGCCCAAAATCATTAAAGCTTTTCTAATACTATATATAAAGCAGCAGATGTATCAGTTAAAATTACTGAAGAGTTAAGCAAAAGTTGATCTTTGCTTTTGGAAAGACACATTTAGTTTTTTKGGGGTTTTTTTYCCACAGTTTTCTTTATRAATAAGAGCATATGCCTTGTGTACATAGAAATTGTGCATGTATGGTAATCTAAGACAAAAAATTTAATTTGCAAATAACTAAAACCAGAATGATTTCTTGAGAGGAAGATGTAGTAACCTATTCAACCTTATGAATTAAGTTAGTGCAAGAAGCTAAATTTGGATTTTAGACTAAACCAGTCTTGTCTCCCTAAAATTTTTCACAGCAGGACTGTCAGAAAGTAATTGYCTCTAATGCCAGTCTCATAATTTATTTTGATTACCTAACACAACAATGGGGAGAGCTAAATATTTGAATTTGTTGATTTTTTAAATTTGATCTTAACTGTAATCATGATATTCTGATTTTAATTAGCTGAGTGAAGCGATGACRTATTAGATTATTTATATGCCTGCTAAGTGTATTATTGCATCCCACTTCTCCTGAATAAAGTCCAGAAAATGTGTAAAAAAATATTTTTTACTCTAAAATGAAAGCCTGGCTCAAAAAAAACTGTGGCCAGAAGCAAAATCAGATGAGAAGTTTTGAAGGAGTTTGGCTCTGCTTCTAAACTGGTGCCCAAAGGGCCAGATTTGCATGCCTTAATTTTGGTGCCTTATTTAGACATCACAAACCCACTGTATGGCCTAAAAGCATGATATGGAGTTAAGAAAATCAGTTCTGCTTACCGTCAGTGGAGGCACTCCCAAAGGGCAGCCCAAGTCACACAACTGTCAGTGTGAACCACCCTTACTGTGCCAATAGCAAATGGTAAGGACAGGGACAGCTCTGATCCTCTTAAATCACCCACTTCCCCAAAAAATTTCAGCAATTTGTGCAAGACCTATACACAGCTTATTTGGGCAAGAATATGTGGAGTACTTACGTCTGTCCTGAGGGCAGGAAGTGCTGAACACAGACCTCCAGCTTTCTCTGTAAGGAGGATAACTAACCAGAAGGWTACTGTGCCAAACTGTGGGCACCAAAAAGAGTGCTGGCCGAGATCTTCAACAGCTTGTTTGTGGTTGCTGTGCTTAGTGCTGAAATTGGTTCTGTCTCTGTCCAGCAGAGTCCAGCAGATTTCAGGTGTCCCTCTGCTCTAGATCTGAACCATGAAAAGCATAGGTATTGGTCACTTAATCTGAGAGATAAGGGAAATTTCAAGGCCCAAAATAAGGGCACTGCTTSAGTTTATACACCCCAAACTTAGGTGGAAAAAGAGCTTTTCTAAGTTCCCTCCTGTTCTTAGGAACATTTTTGCCAAAGCAGAGCTTTGAAAGTACCTTATGTAACTAATGTTACATATACATACGACATATATAAACACATTGATGCATACATGTGAATGTGCTTATGCAAACATATAGATGGTTATCCCCTGTTTGTGAATACAASAAGAAATTATTTCTAAGGGATATCAAGGGTTATTCTCAAAATTTCTGAAATATTTTCAAATTATTTAAAAGACCTTAAAGAATAGGCAAGTAAAAATTTAATCACATATTTACATGAGTGCTGTAATCTACCAGTTGGATGAGGTGGTAATTGCAGTAACAAAAGTTWAAAAAAGAATTTAAAAAGTAGAAAAGACTCAAATATGTGGGCAAGTTAGTTTAGAGAGARCGGGGTTTTCTAACATAACCAGAAATACCACAATAGGAAAGGAAGAGATTAATCATCTTAGGTTGAGGCAACATGAGGCATAGCTCTGCTAAGCTCATCTGCATTCTTTCATAGCAAAAACATTGGCAGAGGTTTCTCCAGTACAATTTCACAAAGACAGGAGGAAGTTGTATGATCCACAAAATGTCCAGTGTATAAATGGACTGCTGAGTAACATTATTCTTGTTAATGGAAAATTAAAGTATCCAGATTTCTTTTTTTTTTGGATGCAAGAGCTCATACTTTTCAATGTACCTTTCAAAGAAAATATTTTATACAGGACACAGATTTTTTAGGAAATACAGTACTGGAGGAATGCTTATCATCTGGTCCATAATAACAATGACAAAATCCTAGTGGACCAAAGATTTGATTCCAGTTAAGCCACTAATTAAAATAATCCCTTAAAAGAATTTTATAGATTTGCTAGAGCTTCAGTTCTAAACAGACACTAAAACTCAAGTTCTTAATCTCCAAAGCATATTTAAAATCTTTGCAACTAAATTTAGGTTTGCTGAAGTAGGCTATATTTTGCACATTGCATGGAAGAAATAGGAGGCATGATGTAACGAGAGAAGACTTTCCAAAAGCTGCATCTAAAATAATGTACAAGACACTTGGATGTTTCAATTGACTGTTAATATGCTGTCTGAGTTTCCTAAGTCTGTACTTTGTACCTTTTGGGTCACTTTAGGGATTTTTCTTTTTTAAATCAATCCTTTGCGTTTTTCATCTTCGATCTTGAAGGTTACAGACTGCAAAGATTGGCTCYGTTTCAGCATGAAACTGTTACCTCTGTTGCCTCTTGTTTCTRTGAAATCGTTCCTTTGTGTGGTGGTCATGAGACATACACTTCCGAAAAAYGGAAAATTTCTGACTGTAGTACTCATCTCTCAGACCAAAAATATTCTACAGAAGAATGAAAGGATTTGGACAGCAGCATTAGACTAATGCAACAATTCCCAAACAACAATTATGGCTGATGCTTCCAAATTTTGGTTTACTTTTTCCCATCAAACTGCACATTTTTCTCCCATTATACAAGAACTGTGTCTCTCTGTTCCAGTTCACAAGCTGAAAACCATTCAATAAATGTCATGATACTGTCATTCTGTTTATCACTTTGGGATATAGGAACAGAGGCACAGCCAGCAATGACCTCTGGCAGCCCTTCAGATCCATTTGGAGAGCTTCCCTTGGAATATACCACCCATTCCTCCACACCAGACCTCCAGAAGGGTATGGTCTGATTGCAGAAAGTCTGGCAATAGAAACTGGGAATCATCATAATTATAAGTAAACTTTAACTATGGATAAAGGCAAAATGCACTGAACTTGTTTAGCCTGAARAAAGCAGCCTGCAAGGAGGCATGACAACTGTCTTCAAGAACAGAAAAAAGGTTCTGTGAGGAGGAAGGGAATGATCTGTTATGTCCATGGTGAATAGGAATGAATTTAAATTATAAACAGACATATCAGCAGTTAGAAAATAACTTTCTGACAGTAAACTTCTTTCTGCCCAGGGTACCAAGATAGCCTGAGGATGCCATCAAATTCATGTTGCTAGAGGTCTTTAAATACAAACTCAGGAGTGATACAATTGAGTCTGTGATGTGTCAGGATGAAAAATTGCTTCTGTGAGTCCTTTTTTTCCCATGATTTTCTATCATTTTAAAATATTTTCTCAGAACACCTCCGTTTTTCACTCTGCTGCCTGAATGGCAMGACACATTGTTGATGTGCTTTGGAAAATTTAATGTACTGTGTTCATTAATGTTGACAGGACTGATAATAGCTGTGGCACATTGGCCTTGCAGCTGATGGCACAGATCAAGAACAGGAAAGAAACAAACTGAAAGGATCCAGGGACAATGACTGCTTTGGAGGCAGTAGCAAAAAGTCATAGCTTAGCAGAAAGTCACTTACTTTTTATATTCTCTCAAATTACAACAAAGCATTAGAAGGCAGCTGCAACAAAATGGAAGCTAAAATGAAGCTTTGCTTCTATTTGCCCAATAAGGACAGATGTCACTGATGGAGTGGAGTAACAGGCAGCCTTCCCTTCTGGATTAGAAAACATCATCTCTACAGTGCAAACAGCAATGAGAGAAACACATAAGCTTCCCTGGTTTGGGGTTTCTATACAAAAACTTCACATATTCCGAGACGGAGAATAAGAAGTATCTTGCATATCTGAATGCAGTCATGGTGATGAAGTACACTGTTGACAAACTGCTTTTGTCCCCTAGGAAGTCAACTTATATGATGACTTTCAGTAGCTCCCACTCAGTAACAGAAGTGTTTAAAGCCTGCAGATCAGAAATTAAGTTCTGCAAATGAAAGAGAAGGAGAAAGGAGAAGGAGAAGGAGAAGGAGAAGGAGAAGGAGAAGGAGAAGGAGAAGGAGAAGGAGAAGGAGAAGGAGAGGAGAAGGAGAAGGAGAGAACAAAGGGGAGGTGGGCTGTCCTTTCAGGGTTGAAAGGGTTAAGTCACCATTAGTTTTTCTAGAGAAGAAAAAGAGGGACAAATTTAACTTAGGTTCTCACTACTGTCAGTGACAAATTTCTAGCTAGCAATTACCTTAGGGGTCCCCAGTGTACCCCTACTGCCTGATTTTCTGATTAAAAAAAGAGTTCTATTGGACTCACACTTCTCCATCTCTTGTGCACATATATATACTCTTTCCGTTGAGACTTAGATGGACCTGCACACCATTTTAAGATGTCATGGAAACTAACACCTACAACTCCTAATGTGGCTCTGAAGAACGACTGTCAATGCCTGCATGGGTGGGTCTATACCAGTAAAGCAAGGAGACACTAGTATAAATTACATAAAAATGACTAGCAAAATAATTTATCAAAAGGTAGTAGATATGTCCTCAAGTGTGTGAAAGCTTCCCTAGAGTGAGTCTAGTGCCTAATGACTTAAAGAAAACAACATGGCTCAGGAGGCCTAAAAGCAAACACAAATGAAAATTAATCATTGGAAAGTATCATTTATGTGCCAGTAAATTCATTCATCATCTCYCTTTAAAAAATCAGGAGTAAAATCTCATGCCTCTATGTGGTGCTGTCACATTGTACATTTTACAGACTTATGCAAACATAAGTCACTTCATATTATAAAGCCTTATCCTGAAGATCCAAACTTCAGTACGAAAACATTGGCTGCATTTTGACTAGTCACTTCTGATTACTGATTAAGCAATTCAGGAATAACTTGCCTTAATTTACTATTTTTTTTTTCCAGCTGTGATTTTTGTATATCAAATCATGGTAGGAACTAGGTAGTTGAAGAGGAAGAGGCAAACTGCCTAGATGAGCTTATCTTCTCCAAATCAAAGCTTCAGATTTCATTGTTTTCATAATTTCACGATTTCAAACAATTTGGCATTTATTAGCTAGATTATTTTTTAGCAACATGCCTATAAAATGCATTTTAACTGTCATGCTAAGTCAACTGTGATTAAAAACAATGTAAAAAGAAAATTTGTTCTGTAGTGTGGGCAAAATGATTTGAAGATCTCAATTTCTAATAGAAAAACTTGTAATATAAGAAATTTCCATCATAATAACTTACCCTTTTGGCGGGTCCAATGAAAACAATCAAGACTGGAAAAAGCTTTGTTGTGTAAGCTTGTCTAACCCTCTCTTTCACAGCTCTGATTCTCTGCATATCAGGGCTGTGATATATTTGTAGGGCCATAATAAGAAGATCCTCATTCATCCCTGTTTTAATACATTCCTAAAAGGACATCCAAGTGCTTAGCGTCATAGTGCAACATGGTACAAAGACTGCTTTTTCTTAACATATATAATTACAAAGAAAGAAAAGATTATTCCTTAAATACAGATATGTGAGTAAAAGAGATGTGAATGGCAGTGCGGAAATGTCTGAGAAGACATTTGTGAAAGAAGGAGGTAGGAGGGAGTGTTGAGAGCAGCACAGGAGAAGTAGCATAGGAAACAATAGTTTTTTAATTGAAACACCGTAAAACAGGGTTTGAAAAATTAAACTGTTTTTTCAAAGATAATTATTGAAATTAGAAAAAAAAATCTAGCAGCTCTTATAGTACAAGTAATCTTGCCCTTTTGAAATGCTTTTCCATTTGTGTGCCTGGGAAGGTTGTATTCATGTGAATGAATTAAACCTTAAAACCCCATGAAATCAGATAAGGAAATGTTATAATCAGATAAGGAGAGGAAGGAGACATAAGGAAAGCAGGTGAAACTATGCACTCAATTAACAGAAACATAACCAATAAAGGTTCCTGCTTCAACATTTTGCTTCTGTGTTCATCGACAGCTCTACCTGTCAGGAGAGCATGCAGTGATAGGAGATGTCAGCAGCAATAATGGCAGGACAGGAGTCTGCACAGGTTGGTAGATAGTTTGGGAGATAACAACATCCCCAAAGAGAGAAAAGTCTGTAGCAGAGAACAAGTTTAAAGAAAAAGAGACAGCTTTGAAGATGAGTTCTGGAGAAGAAAATGAAGGGTGAGGAAAATATAACAACACAAAAATGGACAAGGCAATGCACAGCAGRCATTGCTGAAAGGGAGGAAGGGACAGTGTTAGGTACTTGCTGACAGAGAAGGATCTAGCAGAATAAGTCAAGAGATGGGCAGAGAAGCAATACAGAAGTTAGAGGAACATAAACAGAAAAAAAAAATTAGTGAGAAGATAAAAAGCAGAGATTAACAGAGGGATGACAGGAAAGGCTTGTAAATACGTCTGTGAAATGATGAATTTTCAGTTAAAGGCTTAATAATCTAAAAAACTCTGAACTCTGAATTTTAAAATTTAAGAATACTTATACAATGCTACAATCAAAACATTCTAGGCAGTCAAGCCATTGCTCATTGYTTCCACACTGGGGTCCACTAAGGTCAGCTTTTGTTGCAAAGCTATGTTTTCTGCTCGGTGTTACATATGAAGACAGACTTTGGGGAGATTTAAAAGTTGAAACCAATGAGTCTGGGCCGTCGGCCATTTCTCTTTGCCACATTTGTGTCTGTTATAGGCAAAATAAAAGTTTCACTTACGTGTCTGGCACTTTCTTCTTCAAAAGAAAATGCAAGGCCACAGCTGTAATTTTAATCAGTAAGAAACCAATACCGAATCCAATCCAAATATCTGCAAGATCAGAGCAATCAAAGATAGAAATAAAAGGAAAGGCTCGAAGAATGAATTGAAAGATATTAGTTTCTTTTCACAAACCTACCATTTTGTAGGAGACTTGAAGTTGGAGGCTGAAGGGGCTTAGCAYTTATGTGGCAATAGTTTCCTTTCCATCCTTTTCCGTATCTGTGAATGAAAGAAGGATTTTTGAAGAAYGAGAAGAATGGAGAATAATGGATCATAAACAGTGATGAACGCAGAGGAAATGAATACKTTTTGAGCACTTTTCCCAGTGACTAAAGCTTATCCAGGAATCACAAAGAGCAGCATCAAAGTTAATACAATGGAATGTGAGAAATATGTGAAACAAACTTAGAAGAAAAAAAATAATATAAAACTAAGTTCAAAGATTAGAATTGGCTTCCTTGTCCATTTTGCCATCATATTGTTCTCTCACAGCAAAAGAAATTTGACTCATTTTCCTTATCTCCCACGTGAGGTTTAGACAGATTCCAGGACTGAGGAACTGCGACCATAATGTAGGGAAATGTAGAGAAAGACACACAATTAGAAATGAGAAAGATTTTTTTCTTTCTTGTCATCTAATTTGCCTCTCTTGTTTTTCTATTTTTTTTTAATGAAAATACTTCTCCAACAGTTGCCTCTTCTACCTTGTTCAAGCTTAGTAATTGACACACTAATGAATCCTAGCTATAGAAATGGGAGCCAGTAGCGTATTCTGACATACTGACTTTAAAGAAAAAATGGCATCGTTTCAGCTGACAGCTCTGGCTGGACTGGAGACCCATTGTATTCTGTCACTGAAAATACATGATCTCTTCAATCCTTCTTCTTTTTCAGCATACTACAAAAAAATCATGTCATTCATAAGCTGCTCTTTATGCARACTGATGATATTATATAAATGTCAAATGGCAGCTGGGCTCCTACCAAGCTCTGTGGATCCATGTAGAAACATTGYAATCTGATGGTAATCACCCATCAAAAGAATTTTCTGATTGCTCTCAATTGTATAATTTCCCTTCTCCCTGTTTACCAGATCTTCTGTTGAACTAAATATGCTTTTAGCCAAAAGTGATCTTGGCACTGTCTGTAAAAGAATGAAAAAGAAAACAGATTTGCAGCTGTGCATAAGCACTACTCAGAGTGGCAATGAGAGGTGCCATTTGCTGGTTTGGAGACACCAGGGCACAGCTCACCTCAGAGCTGCAAAGGGGTCATTCTCATAAAGCAGGTGTGTGTACTGGTAGGAATATAGGAAAGTTCTATTACACAGAAATAAGTAAATATTTCTTCATATACTCCCATTTATTGATGGAATATTTCCACATATTCATGTTATATTTGAATTTTGGGTAAAAAAAGCATCTTTTAATTTATCTTCCAATACACACAAAGAGGTTTTACAATCATTTGTAAACTCCCTTGGGTTGGCCATTCATTCCTCTTCAAATCTCTGAATTTTGCATGACATACACCACTTAGGAATCTGATGTCAAACTTTCAATGTATAATTTTGGCCAGTGAAATGATTTTCCAATGCATCCATCTAGGTTGTTACTGTAAGTAACCATTTTGCCATTTTTCAGAAAAAAGATGGGTAAAAATGAATTAAGGTGGAGCAAAGATAATTTTCTTTGGAACTTGGTAAGTTATAAGGACAAATTCAAAACCAAGTTGATGGGTAAAATATTGTAAAACATGAAACATGGGGACTATTTTATAGGGAGAGGGAGGAGGTACGCAAAAAAGGATGAAGATAGTAAAGACAGCATAGCTAACCCTTAAAGATCAGGATGGAAAACGAGTGTCAAACAACAAAAAAAATTGGAAAGTAAGTATCAGTTGGTTAATTGCTCCCACATGTATCTTCACATATTAATTTATTTATTTTTTTAACTTTGGCAGGCAATCTTGGCAATCATSCCTGCCACTGAGGTAAAATGCAAGACTGAGAAAAATCTGGGTTATAATATGAAGATTCATTCAACTTTTTATAAGGTTTTGTTTTTCATTACTAAAAAAAAAAAAAAAAAAAAAAAAAAAAAAAAAAAAAAAAAAAAAAAAGATTAGAGAAAGTAAGAGTTACAGCTAGTTGAGGAGCCTGCAACTTTCAGTGAGGCTCCAAGAAAAACATGGGAAAAACATAGGAACATCATCAATATCCTTGGCTCTCAGCTGAAAGAATCACCACCTCTGGCTTTTAATGAAGCCAAGCATATCTGTGTCCAGAACAGAGGAAAACTTGTCTTAAATATTCAAAATGATTGTGTTTCATAGATGTCTTGCAAGATTTTGTTCCTTTTATAGCTATTATCTGTAGAAAGTCTAGCTGACTACAGTGATAGCTGAGGTGGATAAATCACTCTCTAACTGAGAGGAGAGAATAGAATGAGATTTCTGGTGCCAATAGCTGCCAATAACTTAGATTAGAGAAAGAGAGCAGATATCAGTTCTAGACCATGAAGATTAATAAAATAGAAATAATTTTTATCAAACTACTCCCATTATTTCACTCTACTAGACAGCTGATGGGTACTTTCAAAACAAACAAATATTTTAGACATGGTCTTCTATAGAATAGTTGGAGGTTTCGAAAAGAAATCCTGAAAATTGAGAAACTTTTACAGGTTCAGAAATACTATACCACCATATAGTATATTATATTTAACAAAATCTAAAAACCATTGTAGACCTTAACCAAACAATTGAGCTATTTCAAAAGTCATGCATAACCTACACAACAAAACACAGAACTTATTATCCTTAAGAGATGAGATACATCGAAGCCCTTCTCTGAGTCTGACTCTCCAGGGCCTTCTGTCTGTGCAGTCCTTTGCAGTTGTGTAAGCTGGAGTTGAAATGATGTTCTTCTCATCTCGTGACATTTCCTGTAGGCTTCACACTCTGTCCAATGCATATTGTACTCAGTAGTTGATAAAAAACTGGAAGAGCCCCTCTTTTCATTGAGGAATAAAATAATAAATTTTGGGGGAAAATGTGGTAAGTGCAAGCATGGTATTAGTTTACAGGGATTTTGAGGAGATAGATGAGGTTTCCCTAGGTGTTTGTACTGAGGGCACAGAATCCATATTCCTATGCTTTTGTAATCACAATAAAACAGTCTCAACCCTCAGACTTGGTCCCGTGACTGTTACTGAAAAACTGTGAATAACAGTAATAATACTGGGCAGCTTTATAGGACATCAAGTCAAACTTCACCTTGTACTGTACAATCCTCAACACATGCAATCCTGAAGTGAACTTTAATTACTCCAGCAGCTCCAGGCTGGTCAGAGYAGCCTTTGCATGCACCCAAGAGATGACTGCCTTGGAGTCCAGATAATGAAGAACACTCTTAACTACCCATCYACTGCTGARCATGGACTGTASTTCTGGGAGGCTGAWAAGTTGCTTCTYCAAAGTCACGATTAYTTTTCTCTCTGATGGGAGCAGYCAGGGATACRTCAATGCTGTTGTGGTGTAAGGACWTTACAGAGTACAGATCMACCATGTCTTCTGGGCTGTGTGTTAAATCTTCATTAGCAGGGTAATGGGAATTTTGAAGAGCTTCCTTAATAATCCTCTTCTGCTATTTTATTTTTAAGACAGACAGTTTTGAAAAGACTCTGAATTTATCTCTTGAGCCATGAAGCTGAAATTCCACATTATTTATGTACAATTAATTTCCTAGGACTAATGACATCTTGACTAATTAGCAGCACCACATTTTACATGAGCCTTAAGCTTATCTGAAATACAGATATAACCATTGCAATCCATTTAGACAGGAAACTCCTCATGGTTGAAACAGGAGGAGCAACAGAGAAAGACAGATGAAACAGCGCTTGAATACTTCCATCCCAGTGCACATCCTAATCTATCCTGCCTGACAAAATGTCTTCTGCTATTAGCAAGTTCTTTTGGAAAAGTCACCGTGGAAGGGAGAATGTTAACCCTTCAAATTTGCTTCTAGGATTTCCAACTCTTTATTCCCCATACACTCGTTGGTAATGCAGAGGAAAGAACTTATCATTGCCTGTGTTGCTGCATCCTCTGTCYGCAGTTGTGTCTCATCTCACTCAGAACAAAAAATAAAAATGGGGCCAGGTGTTTGTTGGTTTTGATGATCAGTCAGGGCAGATTTAATTTACAAGAACATGTCTGCCTGATACACTGCTTCACTTCAGGATATCAAGGCACAGCTCCTTTTCCTATATTTTTTTKAAAAATTTGTTATACAGAAAACCTAATCTGTTATGTGTTCTGTACATTCAGAATGCCCAAAAGTTATTCAGACAACTATTTAGTATACATTATATTAATAGTATGTAGATTAAGGCAGTAATATGTGGATGATTGTAATTATAGACGAACATGACTGTACTCTGCAATGTTTTAGAGACTGTTCTTATGCATCTGCTATAATGCAGTGAACCAGTTCCTTCTGTGTGAACTCAGATTTGCCATTGCTACGTTTTTAATGTATTTGCTATGTTTATAACACATTACACGGGGAACATTACACGAGTGCTGACATTGTTTGGGAGCTGTGCCACSTGTGCCTACATGCTGTACAGCTGCTGCATTGCAGTGCAGGCTGCTCCAGGAGTGGTGTCAGAGGATACAAAGGAAAAAAAAAAAMCAMCAAAACCACAACTTAGTTCCTTGCAGAAAACAGAAACTTTACATCTYTCTGCTCTTTCAGTGTAGAAGTTTCTCTTCTTTCTAGTCTTTGCAATCAGTGTTACACAAACTGACTCTTGATGAAAACACCAACTCTTCATTCCATTATGAAGGAAGAAGCAAACTCTCCTTCAGCAGAGTAGTTATCCATATTCCAAAGAGCCTCAGATGCTGTAAACTCCCTGTTGCACAAGATAGAGATGAACAAGAATTCCCCATAACTGGTCATAATAAAAAAGTAACTAAGCTGCTGAACAGAATTAGTTATGTATGATAACAAGGGCCTAGGTCTGTGGACCTATAAATGGCTTCTATTCTGAAAACTTAAAATTTATGGCTGGCAAATACAAATGAATCAACACAAAGGAGAGCAATATGAGGTATGAACAGATTCTAAAGGAACTATAAGTACTCGGAGAAAAGATCTATGCATCCTCACAGATTACTCAAGGAAAGTAATGGCTCACTTAGTATCATAA